TCTGTATACGCGTGGCCGTGTGAGGGAATTTCGAGTGGAAGGATGTCCACCCTCGGCCGTACAAAGGCATTCTGGGGCGGCTGTTTACTTTCTCCATTTTTGTTTAGTTTCATCATAAACCTACTGCTGGGAATAACGTACTCGTCGACTGAATTTTCGGGTATTGATCGCTTACCAGAAGGACCACTTATCGACTTAGAATACGCAGTTGACATAGTCCTGTTTAGTGAAGACGCTGATAAAATGCAGTGTTTTGGTAGCACTAAACAACAATGCCAGGATGTTTAGGATGCGTTTCCCCCCTCTAAACGTAAGTTGTTGCTTCAGGACTGATCTGTGTCAACACCTGAACTAAGGACAGAAAGTGAAGTAGTCGACGATACTAGTATTTGATCACAGATGTTTTAGGAATATTGTCAGTATTTCCTGAGATCAACGTGTAAGTGATAGGGAGGTTAGACTCAGGATATAAGGGAATGATGGTAAATCAGTTGATGAGGTTGTAAATCTTCATTGACTGAGAAAGTTGGGCCACATGTTACGTATGCTTGAACATCGATTACCACGACGCACAATACTGACTAGTGTTTAGGTTGGTTGGAAGAAACTTAGGAGTAGCCAAACCAAAACGTGGCATCAGTCCACCAAGTCAATAACTTCTGTTCTGAGCCATGCAGAATACTCGGTCGGGGTCCGCGTGACTATCGTAACCAATGGTTGGAGACTCTGTGTGACATGGATCAGAATCGATCACAATGGCGTAAGTACATACACTCTTTGTCTTCCTTTAAACTGTGGGACTAAAATTGTCTTATATCTTTCTATCTATCAAACAATTCTTTCTTCTTGTATTATATCATTATAAACAATCTTTCTTTTATATATTACTACGATTAAAGTAACTATTTCTATGAATTTGGTGTTTATCTTGTTACGCTAATGATGTGTGGCAACATGGGCCGATCATATATGTGCCTGGTCCTGCGTTGTAGCTGACTGACTATTTTACATCATATAATATATTTTGTGCTTAAAGAACCTAATTTTCCAATCAAGATACAGATACACATCGATTAATAAAAGTGACATTAACTTGAGCATTTGTCAGTGCTAACAGTAACAGTTCGTACGGTTAGTCACTTGTGCATAATTTTTCAGCCGTGTTCAGAAATCATTTTACTTGCCACAGTACGTAATACCGAGTTCAAATTTGCATCTGTTAGCTGATGTTCAGTACATTGAAACGCCTGTTCACAAATCTAAGTTAACCCATACAATAGCAGCACTTCTCAGATTGTGTAATTTATCTTCTGCTATTTCTGTGTAGGATCCAGTTAATTATTTGCAAATAAACCATTTCATTCAAGCTGTTGTCAACTTCTAGGTCTATTAGTAACATGTGAAAATCATGATTAGCTGCCTCGATGTCAAAAGGACCTAGAACAGTCCATAAATTGGATGCTTTAAGATCCTCCAAACATAAGGATTCATACCTTAGTACTTTCTGGATTGCATTACTACTCACTAATGAAATATATAAAAGGAAACTATGTGGTTTAGATTCTGCCAGAGTACCTAACATTATTTTTTCGAACTGCAACTCTTCTTTAGCACCAGTAGGTTAATTTTTTGCTAACATTCAAAGTACAACCTAATAACATGAATACTCAGAATTACGTGTAAGTTCCAATGCAGAAATGAAGTGGGCATTCAATTCAGTGAATTTCATGATTATTATTACTTCCTATGTTAATCATTACTCATTAAAAATAAAAACAGTTCGATAAAATATACGTGTTTTAGTACGGACGATCAATAAAATAGAAATACGGAGCAATTTTTACATAGACCTGGAAATCATGTCAATGATTAAGTGGCGCTAGATATAATTTGGTCAACAAACTTTAACATAATAACAAAATATTATTATGATTAATTATACTAATTAATATAACCTTAGTTTGTATTTCTAACTAAACAGCATTCGTATGTTCTTAAGGTGGAGAACTTATTTAGCGACACCTAAATATAGTATTTCAATAACTACAATAAGAGGACTATATCTCTTATTTCTTCGTGACTCACCATGTGTAATCGCATTTATGTTTGTTACTTATCTCAATCCTAAACATCGGTGGGAAGATTCAAACTGCCAATATATATGCACTATTATCTATTTGCATCAATTGTGAATAGATAACAATAATCAACTGGTTGAAACTCGGGTTCTATTCTTCATTGTTTAAATAAATACTACGTGTGATGATTAGAAATATTTGAATCAATATACGAACTAGGAATTCCCGAAATAGCACAATTCAAACCAAAAGGAATTAAGTAAACACAAACGAACGTATTGTATTTAGAATTCAAAATCGGGCACACATCGCGTACAAAGGAATTATTCATTCATACGAACACCACACTACATAGTTCTATTTTCTGCTTTGTTGGCCACGGCTTGTGATTTAAGAATATAATCGTGTCGTAATAACCTTTTAAGCTAGTCAATATTAGGTGAAAATGCCGACCTGGTTTATTTCCCATTAAAGCCATTGAAATTAAACTTCTCTGCACGCCATCAGTACCAATCATTAGGAATGATTATTTGATAATCGAGTGAACTCTATTTGTAGTGGTCAACATAGGAGGAACTTTCAAGTAACATTCTTTACGCAACTGTTGTTACCATTGTATCACATACTATATAACTCTGTTCTCGGCAATAGCAGTTTCAGTTTGTATCATTAATATTTGTTTTTGTATATTATTATTTGTTTTACGTATCGTTATACCTTGATTAGGTTCTCGTAGAGATCCGCAACATGTTTCCCTTTAATATTAACGTACTTTCTTGACAAAATTTTTCTATTTTCACAGTAGAAATCATGAGTCAATTGATGCTAGACCACCATGGAAAACGTGGAAGCACCGGACGACCGTTTCGTCCTATTATGGGACTCCTCAGCAGTGCACATCCACGATCCCTCTAGTAAATATTTTATTTATTTATGTTTATTATGTGACGTTATGGTATAATGTATTCTTTAATAAGTTTTGCAATGTAAATATTCTTCAGATACAGTTTCAATATTTAAAAAATTAAAACAAGAAATTATGTGAATTTTTTGGTGTGAAAGCAATAGCATATTCAGAAAGATATTATTAACTCTTATGTTTTAAATATTTGTGAATTTTACAGTAAGCCGAAACAGCATAATTTTATTTCTTCCTCATCTTCATGATTATCTGTAATTATGTATTTTGCATTCATGTCAGTATGAAAATGTTTCATAATTTCAGTCAGCCTCTAATTTTAGTTTATTGATATGAATCAGACAAACTGGAGTGCTTTCACAGTTGAAAGTTTCCTCTAAATAATGTTAGCTAATTTAAATCACTGACTGTTCATACGTTTGTCATTTTAACGTCTTTACTTTTTGAGTTCCTAGTTCAAATTTAGCATTTCGAGTCAAAGTGTCTATTATAAATCTTCCGTTCACTTCTAGTTATTTTAAGAACAATCGTCACGTTTTCAGTTGCCTATTGATGAAAATATGTCTAACAAATTATATGAAGTAATTACTACGAGGTAGTAATGAAATTCCATAGAATTTCAATTATTTTAGTCAAGACTTTTTTCTAATTTAAGATCAATTTCATTACTGAAATTCTTTTATTCTGCAACGATTTTCAAAAATAAAGACAAAAATAAACAACTTAGAATTACTAAGAATTATTTAAATGCTTTAAATGCGTTAATATATTTCAAATCCACTGAATATGAAACTTAAATTCAAGTTAGCTGAACTGTACGCATATTATAAGCCGCTAAAATAGACGGTAATCAATACTATCATGTTATCTAATAACAATCACATGATAATAATTTACTATTTTGGTTGACTGAATAATCAGTAACACATTGCGCTGATGAAACCAATTTATCTGATGCATTTGTGAGCTTTTCCGCAAGACTGGCAACAGTTTGTGAGTGATCTGTGCGTAGTTATCTCAATTCAGATGTTAGAGAGGCTATAGTCAGGGTAAGAGTGGTACTAGGCGTATCTGAACCGGACGACTACACTCTACAATCACAAGCTGTCTCCAACAAAACAGAAAATGGAATGACGTAGGTAGAGTTTATTTAAACACTAAAGTATAAAGCGAGTATCAATCAGTTGGCTATTGTTGTTTATTCACATTGAATGCAAATAGACAATAGTGTATATTATAGTGTCTGTCTCTATGTCAAGCTCACATGGCTTATTTTAGCTTTTAGACAGACCAGTTTATCTATTCCTCTTGAGTCATATTTTGACCTTGTTAATCATTCACTCATCAACCTTTACTGTTTTTATGTGAGCGTATGTATGTGCATTTCTTATTTTACAAATCACATATCTGTAATTTATTTTTTCTGACTATAAATATCGATTAACTCTTGGTTAAATCAAGTTTGCTTACATGCCTTCTCCAACGCGCGTCATTTTGCTTCGCCCTCTTCTCTTCTCTTCTCATCGTTCCTCTGATCGTCTGTCTGCATCGATAATTGTATGTAATATACGTATTCGAAATCCATTCTCGTATTTCAATTATTTAATTACGTTATTCACTAACGTGAGTTCAGTTGACAATTATATATGAGGATTGGAGACATGTATATTTCGATACCAATCAGAAACGATCTAAATGGAGACAGATTTAGGGCCACAAAAATATATAGTGGCTGTTTGAATCTCCCCACTGATGTTTAGGAATGAGATAAGTATTGAATATAAATGCGATTATACATGGCGAGTCACAAAGAAATAAGAGATATAGTCTTGTTATTATAGTTATGAAAAAAATCTTAATATGCTGAATAAACATTCACCTTACCATACATTGCTAATTGACTAATTTTGTTGGGCTCTTTTTGCAGACACAATGTTTTACCCTTACATTATGTTATCCGAATTTATAGTCATTCTATAACTCTTCATATTTATTGTTTATTGATGGATCCTCGTATAACTAATACTGAAAAAAATAGGTACAGTGTGATAATAATTTCAATAAAGAAAACATCCCTTCACTGAAGTTTATGTCTTCACTGTCTTCATATACTTGTAACTTAGTCAAAAAAATTATTATATTTTCATAGTGGTTAAAGTGAACACTTATTTAAGATCTTTCTTGTAATTTCCACTTATGAAAATTTATTATTTCCTTAGTTTTTACTGATGATGCATAGACTGTTGAAACCACTAGTTAGCTTCCAGATTGATAAGATCGAAATTCGAGTGTTTCTCTTTTTTTCTATTTATATTATCAAACTGTTTTAACGACAAACTTGTAGTGACCTGCTTTTCTCATCAAGAACGCGATTGGCATAATAGAAACAATTATTATTATAACCAATTGTACCAGCGATTGTTTTACTGTAATTGTTGTTTAACTGTATCAAAGTCATTTCTCGTTCCGCCGTCCATCTTGTTGGTTCGAACTTTCTTACGCTCAGCTCTTATTGCCTGTAATCTATGGCGCGTCTCGGTATTCATTTGATACCACGAGATTGCCAATAAATATACTCTATCTGGACTAATTACGGCCTTCTGGTTTATTAACTATCAAAGGAACCAAGTCGATTTCGGGCGCGTAATCTTACTGTATTGGTGATCATAGCCATTCAAGACTCGACGCCATCTACAAACTCATTCGAAAATTTCTTGTTATTGATAATGTGTGCATAATTTCTGAGACTTTGACGCTTAAACAGCTTCATAAACCTTTGTAGTTATTCAATAAAAATTTCTTTAGAAATATTTTTTCCCTACTTAATTCATGTTAATCACGATCATCAACAATTATATCACATTTATTATGATGATACGGAATATTTATAACTGTTAAACACCCGTAAGTTTTTGTAAAACAGTCTTCGCAAGACAAGTTGCTGAAAGGTAATTTTTCAAGGATTTGAAATATTTAATTATGTTCATACTAATCAGATACAAAAGTATGTAACAAATAATAGTACGTTGAATGATAAATAATTCATGAAGGATGTAGGATAATTACTTTAAGCTCAGTTTTATTTCTAATAATCGTGTACCCAGCAATGTGGGCACTTTAAAATAATTACAAAATCAATTTGTGTGTATTTGACTTGCATATAATATATCAAAAATAAAGAATATTACTAAAGCAGTCTGCAAATTATGTCAGGTGAAGTTAGACATTAACACCGTTGGATGCCGGCTCAGTGATCTATCGGTCAAGTGCTCCGGCGCGAAGTCGCTAGGTCCTGGGTTCGAGTCTCGCGGGTGTGGGATCGTGGATGCGCACTGCTGAGGAGTCCCACAATAGGACGAAACGGCCGTCCAGTGCTTCCACGTTTTCCATGGTGGTCTAGCTTAAATTGACTAATAATTTGAACTATGAAAATATTGAAATATCTACAAAAACCCCTTCTGATCTATAATCATGGATATATCAAGAACATTTCTTAATTGAAATTCCGATGGTCGTGCCTGTATTATGCTCAATGTTGACTCAAAAGTGTGAGGTGGTTTTACTAGTAAAATATACAGCCTAACATTGTTTGTCTTCAGTTAACTGATGACGTTAACACAATATAAAAATAAAAAACCTAACAGGAGTAAAATTTAGGGGTTGTATATTTTTAACATTCACATTAGCAGGTAAACTAAACAACTCAAAATTTAAATCAGACAGAGCACCAAATCTGTTGTATTTATATCACTAAAAAATTCAGCTGACGAAGATTTACTATCTCATCGGTCGATTTACTATCCTCATGTGGTATTTATATGAACCAATGATTTCTTTGTATTGAGGACTGTTTTGATTTTGAATTCCAAATACAGCACATTTTTTCCTTCTCATCTAATACTTCTTGATTAAATTGGATTTTTCCTGGGATTACTAGTTCATACAATAATTCAAATAGTCTTTAACATCACATTGGCGTCGCGATCGAGCCTGTGATGCATCGGTTGCATATACATTCAGATTTTAATGATTTTGAGGATTATGTAGTGCCGGGCTTCAATAATGGTTCACTTCGATAACCGTTATTATACCAATCTTAACGGTGTATAAAATCAGAAGGCAAAAGGAAGCGGCAACTACATTTTTATTGATGAATGATGCAGACCAGTAAGCTGTGGGTGCATGAGCAAGTGTAAGCGAGCGAAGCAAAGATGATGCATAGTGGATGTGGCTGGAAAGCCAACTCCAGAGTGAAGCAAAATTAATGCGTATTGGAGATGGCGGGGAAGCCAACTCACTATCAGCATGCATTACTCAATATTTATAGCCAGACAAAATGAATGACAGACATGATGAATAGGATACGAAGGGTACACATATACGCTCATATAAAAATATAGTCAAGGTTAATAAGCGAATAGTTAACAAGACCAAAATATGACTCATAATATATAGGTGAATTGGCTTGGCCAGTAGCTACATGGGGTTAACATAACAACCAATACTACAATTACATGGAGATGTTCAAAATCTGGGCGAGACTAAAGAACATGGACGAGCCAATTAGAAGCTTTCGCGGGTTTTCAAGGTCACGGCGCTAAGTTCGGTACCTGACGCTTACGTACGGTCGGTTTACAAAGGATTTTAGAGAAAACATGATAACTAAGCGTCTACAAGATGTTATCATAAGATTTCGGCGCAAAATTCAATTATATATTTGGATTGAGTTGTGGCATTATAGCTTATGTCAGTTCGTGATGAAAACCCTAAGTAAAATTCATAACCTTAACCATGAACTGTAACTCATAATTTGAATTCTTCACATGGGTTTATAACCCTCATTTAGTTTAAGTTATTACGTTGACATTCTCAGATTCACTCTAGCGTCGCTCAAATGTCGTCCATAATTTATAGTCTCATCTTTAACCCTAAACCTTAACCCTAATCCTAAACCATACCGACAACTATGTGGTTGAGGCTGAAAGAATTTTCGGGACTTTATCATGGTTCCAGAGGTCGACTACTATGGAGCCACAGGAATGAGTTCCTGTGCCGGATGCACTATGATTTTAGAACTTCTAAACCTATATCTGACCTTGATAAGTTTTTGATTCATGTAAAAGAACAGTATCCCCTTTGATTTTTGAGTTTTGTAGAATATATTTTTACTGTATGCTAACTGTCTTCTGATTGGCCAATATTTCTCAAGGTCATTTATGATTCGTTCAAAGGTCGTCCATCTTCTTTAGTGTCGCCGATTTTTCTAACGACCCGTTATTCTTTAATGAAACTCTTAATAAATTTGAGGGAAATATTTTAGAAAAATCAAATTCAGATATCACATCAAGTGTTAGTGGTCCTCAAAATGAATTTATCTTTAATGATATTCCTAATGAATGTGACAAATATGTTCCGAATGAGTTGAATTCCAGACACATTTCCAATGTTATTATAGCAGATGTTGGATATTCTCACGAAAAATGTATGTTGAGTAGAATCCCTAGTGAGTGATATGATGAATCCGAGGGAATAGAAAGTTTTCCTGATGCAATCAGAGAACCATTTTACTAAGATATAGAGTTTGCACAGGCAGAGAATTCACATCAAGTTCAGGATTATCCTTATGACTATGGGACAGATGCATGTTTTTTATTCGACTGTTTCGCAGGTGAATCAAGCCTAGATGAGTCACATGTGTTAATTACACATATCTGTTATATCCCCTGGTGAATTATGAATGATAACTATTGAGGGCTATTTATGGACCAATGTAATATGTGTATTTCCTATTGTATAATTGTCGTATCATTAGCTTTATTTTGACTTTTGACCTATTATTATACGATTCTTGAGTTATCATCAGTCTATCGATTACTTTTCCCATATTCACAGCCACATTTGACCAATTATTGTACAAATGTTATTTTCTATTTTATGGTACGATGTGGTCTATTTGGTTGGTATATAAACCCAGTATAATTGTGAATAATGATTCATATTGCCGAGGCTGTTATTAGTGTTCTGGACTCAACTGACTGTGCTAGGCAGGTAGCAGAACTGACAAGTAATCAAGGCTGCTCATACGGTTTTATGTATCATTGGGCGATCAATCAATACACTGCTTTCTCATTGGCGGTAACCGGCACGTTCATATATCGAACAGGGCGCCCACACACTCATACGATATAACAATATCAATGCATATTTATCTGTGTATTCTAATATGAAAAGGACTATGTATCATAATTTTTATGCAAGTCAAGTTCACATGACGGAATGCCTCGAATTGCATGTCAGTGTGTAACCCTAAATGCTCACATGCAATAATCGAAGCGTGAGATATAAGGAGATAATACGAATTGGGAACATCAAAATGGTTATAACAGTGCGACGTAAAAACCCAATATTATTCCCTGGGGGAGGATAGTGTTGGAAAGTCTATGATGCGAATTCTTAATATCAGTGATTTCACTAGACAATCGATATGATGATTGCATACAATTCCAGGAATCAGGTGAGTATGTTCCATTGTTGGATTTTAATTCTAATACTAATGATTGTGTTCTAGATCCTACAGAGTCTACATCTATTACACAGTCAGGCATACACGTGATGAACCTAAAGAGAAGAGGTACGATTAATCGCAGAAATCTGTATAATCATTTAAGCTGTTGTGGATGTGGTGTTTGAATGAACCAATAATTCTTTTGAATTGATGACTGTTAATTTGAATTCCAAATACAGTATTTTCGTTCATGCTCATCCAATACTTCTTCATTAAATGGAGTTCTTGCTGGGATTACTAGTTCATACTATAATTCAAATACTACAAAACGTCACGAATACACGACCAATGCTTCGAATACTAGCAACCCATATATATATATATATATATATATATATATATATATATATATATATATATACTCTTAATGGTCATGTATCATATCCATCAAGTAGAACGAAGCAAACTGCTGAGCAAAAAACTCGTACATTGGTTATAAGATGGGTATCTCCTGTACTCTTCTCAGGTTCTCT